AGATTAATATTAAGTCAATTAAAGGGTAATAACTCGAACCATTATCTTAAAAAGAAGAGTTATATCCTCGCTTACCAAAACCAAATCACTTACTCCCTCCATCCAAAATGCTAGAGTAATCTCCAAGCTCAAAAATGCTTAAAAGTTGGAATATTTGGCAATTCCAAAACCGAAGAGATATATTTCATATTTCACCGTCAATAGAAATGACAAAAATATCTTTTGAGCTCAAATGATGTGGACGTCAACTATGATATTAAGATAAATTCCCTTACTTCTAAGCTTTATCTGAAAAAGAAAAAGGCCTATTCGATCAGGATAAGTATTGAACTTAAAGCAACCAATTTGTCACGATATAAATTTGGAGATTAATCTTAGTAACTTAGTTGGTTGATTATTTGAACTTTCAACTCGTCGATGAAGAAATTCATATTTTGTAATCTCCTCCCCCATTTTTCCTTCCCTACTCCCTGTTTTTTTTTAAAAATTAAAAAAGAAAAAGAAATATGTCACAATATAAATTCACGGTACATATTGTTTGCTTTTGATCACTACTAAATAGTTATTATTTTCTCTTTCATGTTTATTTGTTATTCATAGATATTTTGATTAAAGTACCAATTAGAAAAGAAAATACTGGTATTTTCAAATGGAAAAATCCAGAAGTTTCTCAATATTTGAATGAAAATCAATTTCTTATCATGTATTTTTTAATGAACTGATTCGATAAAAAATGAATAAAACAATCATATTTTATAATGTAAATTTTTCATTAATTTATGATGGAGAAAGACATTATTTTTAGTATTGGATCTAATTTATCCTGAAGGAAATATTAATGTAGTCGATTTTCCCTCTTTTTCATTTTCGCTACAGCATCAACTGTTCTAGCTAATTATCTATCCTTTTCGATTGTAATTTTTATGTTATGCGTGGCCATGACTAAAAACATATCTATTAATTGAAGTAGATTTTTATTTTGATCTTTTTTTCGAAGCATACACCTTTCTAAATGTGAATGATTTTTATTTATATAGATGAATCTTATATACACCATAAAATGAAGTGTGTATATAATATTTATATAGATGAATCTTATATACACCATCAAATAAAAAGTGTGTATATATATATATATATATATATATATATAGCAATGTGTGAATGAGAAATAAGAATAAATAAGAATGAAAAAAAAATTGGGAAATGTGGGGAATCAATTTGGAGGAAACATGAAAAGTCATTTATTCCAAAGGTGAATACATCACGTGAACTTGTGTTAATTAGTTCTTATAAAACTCTCCATTTTGCTTTTTTATTTTGATGTAGGATCCTCCTAAAGTGCCGTATGCTCCTAATCTTGAAAAGTGATTATTTTCGCATGAAAAAATTTAAAGGCTTCTTAATATTTCAGCGAGAAATTATTTTTCACCATAAGTTTTATAGTGAATTGATCCGATGAAAATTAGATGAAGAAATTATATTTTATGATATAAATTTTTCATTGACTATTTTTAATAGTGGATCTAATTTGTCGGCCTCCGTTTTTAATAGTGGATCTAATTTGTCCACTCATGTAATTCTAAGGTAGTTATTTTCCCCTCTTTTCATTTTCACTACAGTATCCATTGTTCTGGCTAATTACATATCAATCTTTTTCAATTGTAATTTCTATGTCATGTATGATTGTGCCTAAGGACAATACGGTTGAAATAGACTTTTATTTGATCAATCAAATTTTTCAAATTATATTAAGCTTTTTTCAAAGCATAGGGCTTTCTGAATGTTATGATCTTCTATATTTTGAATCTTTTCGTTTTATTATCTGACTTATGTTTTACATGTAGCATTCAGAATAAATAATTATGAAACTATGTTTGAGAATTTGTATTTTAAATTATACCATTGAACTCCGAAAGCATGTATACCATATGAAGGTTGATATGCCTTATAAAGCTATTCAATTTCGATATGAAATTTACCTAAAATCTCATGTGCATCTCATCTTTAGAAATTTTGTAAACCTAAAAGCTTATTAGTCTCGCTTGAGCCTCCCTTCATTAGGGTGTGATATACAACAACCTCAAGAACCCAACGTCCTCATTGAGGTTTATTCGACTATTATATAGAGGGATTATTGGTTTTGATCTCATATTTTTCACGATCCGAAATCATGACACGTATTATCCTCTTTAGGCATGTAGACTTGTACTACTTTGTTTTTCAAGCTACGTCACATTAAGCTACAAAGATCAGTACACCACGTGAAACTTGTGTTATGTCTTATAAAACTCTTCACTTTTCTTTGTTATTCTGATGTCGGATTTGTGTAAATTATCATGTGCTCCTAATCTTTCAAAGTTTGTCAGCCTAGAAGCCTGGTTAGGGGCGCTCATGGTACAATATAAACTACTATTAAAATTTTTGATTCAATACATTAATTTTTTGTTTTTAAAAATATTATATCATTATCATGTTAAATTATGATTCAATATTTTTAAATTCATTGGCAAAGTACAGTACAATAAGTAGGTGTAGCCATGTGTTCCCAAAGAAAAAGAAAAGATCTTCTGTTCTTCTTTATTGGTTGTCACTCTTGATTAGTATGTAGGCTTCTCTAATATTTACAAATAATAAAGAATAATGACTTCAATTATTCAAAAAATATCTTCAACATCATATTAATACTTTACCCATACTGAAATATTTGAGAAAAGTAAAAACAAATTTCCTTTCATTAATTAATATAAAAAAAAATATGTCAATCTGATAAACAATTATTATAAAGTTTACTTGATCTATAAGTAAGAAACAAAATATATACAACTATAACAATAGAAGAAATCATAAAAAGAGATATCCAAAATAAATATAAAAATAAAAATAAAAAAGATATTCAAAATTAAATTACTAAAACAAATACAGTATGATGACATTCAAAAATATGGTCGAATGTATATGTTAAAATATAATTTCAAAATTTTAAATTTTTAAATTTTAAATTCAAAATGTATAATCGAAATAGGAACTTCGTATTGCCTCTTTTCCATTTTATGACACCATTCCTTTTCGTAATCGTAATATATAGGTAGAAAAGAATAAACATTCTTATATTAAACAAATAGTCGTACCACTAATGAGATTTTTATTCTATTTTTATTATTATAATTTGTAACATGCTAATATCATAAATTCTTATGATACTTTAAATATGTGTCAAAAGAAATTCTTCTATCTAGTCGAACATCACTTTATCAAGAGAAAAAAATTAAAAATAATCTTAAACTATCCAAAATTATATAAAAATATGTTTAGTTAATAGTTTACTCTAAAAATATCCTTCAAGTCAATAATTTGATCCAAAAATAGATTTATCATCAAATATTTGGTCCAAGATGTCTCTGTTGTTACTTAATAGATCAAACATGAACCCTAATAAATATATATTATTTTTTTAAAACACATTTTATTTCTAATAAAAATATTACTTTTAAAGAAACCTATTCATATTCCTTTTTAAAAATCACTTTAACTAATGAGTAAATAGAAAGTCATTTTTTTTTCTTAATTTCATTTAATCAATTGATATAAACTATAAAGTAACTATGAATATCTTTTTAATTCATTATATATATATATATATTTATATATATAAAGATCGTAGTAAGTCATAATTTTAGTTTCATTTCGAAACGATAAATGAATATTCTTATTAAAATACATATTTGTATTTCTTAATCTTTTCTAAATTGAAGTAAAATATAAAAAAGTATTTTTATCCATTAAGTAAATACAAAGACATTTTGAATTAAACTATTAACGAGATACTTTTAAACCAAATTATTAACAAAATATAATCTTATTCCGTTTCACATATTTTAAAGACATTCTTTTTATTATTTTCCATTTTATTAATAGAAATACAGAAAAGGTGTATTTGCCCCCATCATACGTGACGTAGACTGTTCAATCTTCAAATGGGCATCAATAAACAAAAAAAGGAAAACAGAAAAGAAAAGAAGAAGAAGACGAATTTCCCGTTTATGTTCCATATAATAAGTATATAATTCTATTTTTAAGATTCTATTCCACTTTTTATCTATATTGTGTTTAGAATAATGACGTTCCAAACATAAAAGAGTCGTCTCTCATCTTCCATACTAGATACACAATTCGTGTCAGCACAAGTCTAATATATATATATATATATATATTTTTTTTTTTAATTTATATAATATAGAGGAAATTTAGAAAGTCGTTCAATATGTTATATCGTTAATTATGATTTATAGTTTTTTTTTTATCAAATTTGTAAAAAATATATATTCCTTTTGTCCTAATTTATTTATATGTCTTTAAATATTTTAAGTAATTAATTATTTGTGATTTATAATATCTTTGACGTTATTTTCAAGTAATATATGTTATTTCCTTTGTCCTAAATTATGTGGCACTAGATAAAATTTCGAGAGTCAACGGAATTTTTTATGTTTTTATATATTTAAAGTTAATTATTGTGTTTTATAATACTTTTATGTCATTTTTAAATAATATATATTACTTTATCTTTATAAATTTATGTTGAACAGATAGAATTTTAAGATTCAACCAATTTTTTATGCCCTTTAAATATTTTAAACTATTAATTATTAGAATTAATAATATATTTACGCAATATTCAAATATTTAACAAACTTAAGAAAAAAAAGAAACTAAAAAAATACAAAAAATTCATAAATATTCTCATCTAGAAGCAGACACATCAACGTAGAGAGGCGTGTGCTTCTGGTAGCTTATGTGTAGTAGTAAAGTAATAAGCTAGTATAAAAAAGAATTAGTATGCAAAAATAATTAGCCAAACCAAAGTCGATGTTTTTAGTTCTCTCATTGTGGAATGAGATTATATTCCATGTTCCTGCCTTCACAAAACTCAAAATAACAAATAAAATTATAGGAATACTCATTTGTTTACACTAACTATATATCATTCAAATTCCCTAATGGCTTCCCAACCATTCCAATGGCACTATGCTGAGTTCGAAGACGGAAACTACGAAATCCATGGCTATGCTTTTTTCTTCATCCTCTTTCTCATCGTCGTAATTCTCTTACTTACCATTCTTATCCTCTACACTCGTTGCATATGCCATTGTCAAGGCCGGCCCGGGGTTGCTCGTCCCTCTCACGCGCCGCAGTCACTACTTTCTCATCGAGGTCTGGACCCAACTTGTAGCAGTAAATTGCCGATCACCTTATACGGAACTAACATTGCTGAAGCAGAGGAAGAAGCAGAGTGTTGTATATGTTTAGGTGTTTTTCAAGATGGCGATAAACTGAAAATTTTGCCGGTTTGTCACCATTGTTTTCATTCGGAATGTGTGGATAAGTGGCTCACAACTCGGTCTACTTGCCCGCTCTGTCGTGCTCAACTCCGATTCGACTCACTTGTTTGACGTCTATGTCAATGTGTAGATTACTTCTACACCACAAATTTATTTTGTCTTTTCTACTCTCTTCCTCTCATTTTATATGAGTTAGTTTGATTCGGCATGAAGTTTAAGAAAAAAAGACAGACTTTTAAAATTTATGATTTAAAATAAATGATAGATATTCGCGTGGCTATAAATCATTTAATAAAATGAGAATTTTAAAGTTAAATTGTTATTTAATATTTCCTCTATCCCTATTTACTTGTCCACTTTTCCTTTTTTTAGTTGTCTCTAATTACTTGTCCATTTTAACAAATTAAGAAAGGACAGTTTTTTTTACCTATTATATCCTCAATTAATTACATTAAAAAAGGTAGAACTTTTTGAAAAATTCAAGTTTTTAATCATCCACTTCATAATTAATAAGGATAAAATGGTAAACTCACTATGTCAATTATTGTTTTCTTAATAGGTATGTCAATTCAAAAGTGAACAAATAATTAGGGAAAGAGGGAGTATAGAAATATGAAACAGACTAAAAATGAAAGTAAGTTATATAAATTGAGACATAGGAATATGTTTTATCCTTTCAAAAATTGGATAAATCATTTTGTGTGTTGTTATTCCTGAATACCCTAAGTTAAAATTTTCGGCAATAGTGCGCGCAGCTCCAAATAAAATATGGGAGACGATTTGAGTGACTTGTAAAATTCACTCTAATCAATCTAGAAAGTATTTCTTTCTCGTCGAAATTTATATATGATGGAGATATATATATCTAATTTTGACTAGAAAAACAATTCTTGTTTTTAACGGTCCTAGATTAATAAATTATGAATATTGTATAAATAGTGTAGAATAGTTATATGATGTATAACTATATATCATAGATGTATATATATTCATATACGATTTTTTTTTCAATCCAAACCAATGCAAATCTCTTCTGAACAACCCCAATTTTTTTAGATATGAGTTCTTCTCAATGTTTCAAGTCTTTTACAATTCACGTTTGCAGCACATCAAATTTTGAAGTTGAGCTTTGAAGAAGTTTTAATAATTGGAAATGGAGTCTTTCAATTTTGATCAACTCAAGTCTCTTCTAAATAGTCTCAAGTTTTAAATGTGAGCTCCTCTCGATGTTTTGATGATAACTTGGTTTCATCACCCTACCACTTGTGTTTATAGGCTTTCAATACTGCACTAATATTTAGTCTTCTTGCATTTTTTTCTACTTTGAATGACTCATGATGCTCCTTAGCCTACTTTGAATAGAGTCTGGGGAAGTTTCGGAAAGTTTGCCACAAATCTCTTTCCAAAGATTCAAGACGTTCTTCATTTTGTGATTAAAGACAACACATTTTTCTTCAAAAGTAGATACAACTGCGTTTCCCCTATGAAGGACTCGTGCAAAGTCATTTAAATTAGAAAAAAAAACTCTTTTAAAACTTTAGTCATGAAAAGTAGATGATATCTTTTAATTTCTCTCAACAAATGAAGGTGATTTTGTCTTGTATTTTGGCCCAGCAATGATTCATCACTAACTTGCTACCTGTCATGTAGTGATCCGATAGGATTCAAGCTGGTTTGCGACATTACAAATCTTACCACACTATAAGAAAAGTGTGAATTACATGGGAATTTTCTTGGGATTAAAATGAAAATTCGTAGGAAACTTATTTTCCTGCAAATTTTCATACTAATCCCTAGGAAAATCTCCATTTAATTCACAGTTTTCTTGTAGTGCCAGATTTTAGATTTCAAATACATATATTTGACGCGTCGAGATATTTAAATACATTTATTTCATCATTTCAAAATTTGTAAGAAAAGACTTAGACTCAACGTAAAAGAATTGTTTGCATCATGTGAAAAGATTATTAAAGTATATATAACTAGCTACTATTGTTGACTAGTAGATTTTTATAAAATTGTGTGTATTTAAAAGTATGTAATCGCAAGTAATTATTGTTGTTCATCTTGTATTCCTAAGATACTTAGAACAAAACTTTGAAGAACTTGGTAAGAAACAACAAAGTTTAAAGAATATTTTCAGAACTAGAAAATTAAAACTAGTAGAGAAAATAGAATCAGAAACAGATTAGAAACAATATACACAATATTTTTCTCAAAGAAAGAAAATGAGCCCACTGAATGCACAGTGTCCCTTAAGGAAATTATTCCCCTCAAATACCCAAGGTTAATGGAATATATCCTCCCAGGTTAGAACAATCTTACTCACCGGTGTATCGGTACCTAAAACCACGGTGTCAGCGAACCACTCAATGACAGTAAAGTACACTTAGAATACTAGATTTAGTAGTAGTAGAAGAAGTCAAGAAAATTCATTCTCTTAAAATGAGAGAAAATTCCTGAATTTATAGAAAACAAAGGGTAGTGTGAAAAGGTTTTTATTGTACTTTATCGAAAATGTCACAATCCTTTGGAAAAGTCACAATCTTTTAGAAAGGTCACAACCTTTCATATAAGTCACAACTTTTCATAAAAGATACAACTTTTCATAAAAGTCACAACTCTTTATAAAAGTCAAAATTCTTCGTAAAAGTCACAACTCTTCATAAAAGTCGCAACTCTTCATAAAAGTCGCAACTCTTCATTTTTCATTCACACCTTTTAAAACCCAATCTCTCGCATGAATGAGGAATAACTCCAAGAAAAAGAAACAGACAAGTTTGTGTACTTTACAAGCAAGAATTAATTGCATCTAGATAAGTAGGTTTCCCTTTGAACTTTCCGTAGTGAACATATGTCAGATATACTTGGTCAATCGATAGATTTGATATCTTTGAACCATCAAGATTTGGTGTATACCTAGACAACCATATGTCACACAATCAACCCTTTACCGTTTATGGTTCTTACAGTTGTATTCATTTCAGCCATGTACACCTCCTGGTTTCATGAGTGTATAGAGAGATGGGTTTTTGACAATCATCCTCTTTGAAGCGGCTTACACTTCACACTCACATAGGTGATTTTTTAATTGTGTTATCGCGTAGATACACTATTTGGTCAAATCTGTCAAACTTAGCAAATCATTAAAAACTTTAAGCTTTATTAACTAATTAACAAGCCTTAATGTTGTATCCTTGTTCCTGAGCATTGCCTTCATCATGAGAATGGATTGAGTTGGTTGACAATGTCGAACCGTCAGTCACAATTTTGTTTTTCTCCTTGAACCTAGCTCTTGGGATCTCCAGTCTGCTAGGTAGAGTTACATCCATGATGACTTGTCCTAAGCCATAAACCCATTCCGTTAGATGATCTTTCAACTTTCTCTCTAGTTAGGCATTTTTGTAAGTGGATTCGACACATTATCCTTTGACTTAACAGAGTCAATTGTGATAATTCCACAAGAGAGTAGTTTCTAATGGTATTATATCTATGTCTTATATGATGAGACTTTCTGTTATACATCATGCTCTACGCCCTACCTATTGCATCTTGACTATCAAAGTGTATGCATACTGATGCCAAAGGTTTGGGCCAAAAAAGAATATCTATCAAGAAATTTTGGAGTCTTTCTACTTATTCACCGACCTTATCTAGAGCACCTAGCTCAGAGATCATTGTAGAGCTAGCGATACATGTCTTTTTGGAAGATTTCCAAGAGACTGCTCCTCCACCAAGAGTAAATACATATCCACTCGTGGATTTTACTTCATTTAATCCCAGTGATCCAATTTGCATCACTATATCCTTTTAATACCGCTGGATATTGTTATAATGCAACACATAGTTTTGAGTAAGTTTTACATACCTCAAAACTTTTTTCATTGTCATCCAATGGGTTCGATTGGGATCACTCGTGAACTAACTCAGTTCATTAATATCACATGCTATATCTGATCACACACACTTCGTGATATACATCATACTTCCCAATACTCTAGCATAATCCAACTATGAGTTACTTTCACCTTCATTCTTTTGAAGTGCAAAACTCACACTATTGGAGTCTTAACAATATTAAATTCAAGTATTTGAACTAGTCAAGTATCTTTTCAATGTAATGAGACCGTGACAGTGCTAAACATTATGGAGTTCTAAGGATTCTTATACCTAAGATCACATCAGCAACTCCAAGATGTTTCATATCAAAGTTGCTTTCTAGCATATGTTTAGTAGCATTTATGTCATTAGTGTCTCTACTGATGATCAACATATCATCAATATACAAACAAACAATGACCTTGTGATTTTAATGTAAACACATTTATCACTTCCTTCATTCTTAAATCCATTTACCAACATAGTTTGGTCAAATTTCTTATGTCATTGTTTGGGTGCTTGTTTTAGTTCATAAAGTGACTTAATAAGTTTACACACTTTCTTTTCATTATCAGGAACCACAAAACCCTCGGGTTGTTCCATGTAAATTTCTTCCTCTAATTCTCCATTTAAGAAAGTTGTTTTCACATTCATTTGATGAATTTGGAGGTCATATACCGCAACTAATAATATTAACATTCGAATGAATGTAATTCTAGTTACTGACGAGTATGTATCAACAAGATCAAGACCTTTTTTGGTCTAAAGTCTTTGACACAAAGTCTTGCTTTATATTTGTCAACAGTTCCATCGACTTTCATTTTCCTTCTGAAGATTCACTTTGAACCCAAAAGTTTATTTACTGGAGGAAGATAAACAAACTTCCAATAGGATTGCTCAAAATTGATTAAATCTCACTATTGACACCATCTTTCCAAAAGGATGAGTCCATATAAGACATAGGAAATGTTACAAACTCAGATCCGAAGAAAGTAGATGTCCTTTGACATTTACTACCTGAATCTCTTTATTAAGTACATTCTCCATTTGTTCTTTCCAAGATTTTTTAGACCCTTCACTAGACTACTCAAGTCTAATTTTACAGTCCACAGTCTTAGGTCCTATTTTAATCCTTTTAGGAATAGGAACTTGAACTTTGGCTAGACACTCCCACATTTTGAAATATTTCAAGTTGGATTTCCTTCCTTTTCATTTGTCATATGGAATAGATT